GGTCTCAATGCTTGGTAACCCCTTGAAATTACTCATGAATTTCTTCTACTTTCTGTCTCCTCACAGAAGGGCAAAAGTTGTATCCAAAGTCAAGTTCACTCGGTATTCAGAATAACCTCAAAATGTGAACACAGCTTAAAATTAGATTCCCATTCAGATGCTAGTAAGAAAAATTTAACACGTTCATACGACAGCACTACTGAAGTCAAAAGCGTGGTTCAGGTGTTCAGTATAACTCAAAATGTGAACAAGGCATAAATAAACATTTAAATGCAGATCCCATGAGGAAGAGTCTGGCTCAGAAAAGAGCACAATAAAATATATTTAGCAAAAGTCATTGGATATATGGATATGCAGATTATCTCCAAATGTGAATAGAGCTGATATAGATATTTCAATTTGATGCCATATGGGAACTCCAACTGAGAAAAAAGCACAAGTAGAATCCCAAGCAAAATTATTTGATATGTGGAGAATATCTTCAAATGTGAACAAGGCAATGAGCGATCTTCTCATTCTGGTGCCATAAAGTAAAGTCCAGCTCACGAGAGAGCACACAAATTGGATCCAAAATTAAGTTCAGTAAATGTCCATGCTATCTCCAAGTATGAACAAAGCTCACAGAGATCTTCTAAATAGATGACTTAAAAGTAAAATCTGGCTCAGAAGATCCAAAGGGGAGGTCAGTGGAAGCACAGAACACCTCAAAATGTGAACGAGGCTTAGAGAGATCTTCCCATGTTGATGCAAATGCAGAAACATCTGTCGAAAGAAGAGCAAAGCGGTATCTCCTTTCAGGAGCACAATCACGAAGGGATATAAAGGGCCAAGTCAGGGCACGATCGAGGAGAGTCGCATCCAACAGCACCCCACTCAAACCAGTCAATAGTTTGTTGGTAAGAGCCCAGGAGGAGCTCGAAGCTCAGCTGAATGGTCAGTGCAGCATCCCTTCAGTTAATGCATCCCGGCACATAACACAGAGAGCATCTCATCTCGCTATGCACATGAACTGCTTTCTCCTGAATGCTGCGGGGAGATTGGTGGAGCCTGAGCAGGCACACAATGCATGCTGATGGTGTCATGCCACCTCAGGGATTACGCAAGGCACGGGAGTAAACAACCGCGATACCAGCTGACAGTTGGGATGAAAGTATTTCATTTCAGAATCCGACCTGGAATCCTCACTTCGACGGTCTCCATTTTCCCTAAATGGACAGAAATTGAATCATGGGGTCCCTTTACAAATGTGTCAGAGTATATGCATTTACAGCCTTCTAGTACCAAACAGATGATATGTGATGAATCCTACACGCACGATGAAAACAACTGATGCATTAAAGGTACTATGTCCCATTTGCAGGCCAAAAAATGAAAAAGTTAAATTCCAACTGCATTGAAAGATAATACTAATTTAGAAGTTCCCTAAAAAAGGTGGGGCTTTACAATGTTTTCAAGTGGGAAAATAACGACTATTAGTTGTCAAATCGACTTTAAGGGCTACAGAGCCCAAAAGTAATAGTCTTGATTTTCAGACAATTGTACCGAATGGTCATACGTTTTATGCTGCGCAAAGATTCAATCAGTTTAATCTTGGCCATCACAAGAAGTGGGTTATTGATGTAGACAAATGCTCATGTACCCTTTACAACTCTTTTCATGTATGTTATTACCAAAGAAGAAAAAAGCCAGTCAGTCACTCAATATTGTCTGACAGTAGAGTCTAGCAAAGTAAACAGGTTTCCTTGCATAATTTGAATATGAGGACACTGCTAACATTTAAATTTCACAGACAGGACATACATGACATATTCACAATTCCTGCAAAGTTCTACAGCATTTGAGGTTGGCTGCAAAAGGGACATAGTACCTTTAAAGAAAAAGACTAATCCAAATAAAGGGAATTGATCGCATCGTAGGATGAGAGCACATAAGTACGCGTAACGCTACTAATGACATTCATGTGAAACATCATCATCAAATGATGATTGCTTTAACATGTGATAATTAGACCAGCTAATCTGTCAAGCATGCACTTCAGTTCCAATGTGAAAGAGAGAATGACTCTATCATGATATCATTCACAACCACTCTGTGTATCTCAAGTGGAATAAGAACTAATACAATTTAATTGAGTAGAGGCAAGGAAACAAACCAAATTTATATCAAACTAGTTTACTAATTCCATCGGAGAGAAAGAAAAAGTGCAGTAGGTTCTATTTTGGTGGAAAGTCTGCTCCTCAAAATTAAGAGGTAAAATCTTGATTATACTTTCAAAATGGCTTTACACTTTCTGAGATATTCTTCCAACATTGATGTCACAGAAAATACAGAAAAAAATGTATATAACCTAGTTACTAAATGCCTAGAAAAAGTAGGGTGGCTTCCAAAAGTAATTGAAAGTAAACCCCTCCCACCCCCCCCCCTCCTAGAAAAATAAAACCTTTGGCATCATGGCCTAGTCCATACACCTACCCCCCCCCCCCCTCCCTCAAATTGACCAACTGCAACCAATTCATTATCTATGCATTTCATAATTTCAATATCGCATTTCCCCCTTTCCTTGGAAAACGAGATCCCCGATCGGATGAATTGCTAGTCCATTAATCGGCGCTGACAGGTCTTACTTTATGCAGTCCCACATATTGCCAATCTTATCATGTCCCTGAGATATGGGCCAAGTGTTGCCCCACATGTGTTCCTACAGCTTACAGCCTAAATTCAGTAGGAAGGTTCACACGACAGGTCCGTTAACTTAAAGTAATGTTGTAGTTATAAACTATAAAGTTATCTTGCAGTTAAGGACAGTGCGGATGCACTTGTGGTTACAAAACTTGAAGTTAACTCGCGGTAACAAACCATGACAGATCTTAAGGTTAGCGTGATAACTAAGAGCAGAAGGGGTCCTCGCTCAAAGTTATGTTCATATGTCCCATGTGAACCCTCCTCATCGTAGTTAATGGATCCTTGTTTACAACTTCCCAATTCCGCAAACTTAAAGTTTAAAACTATGAGGGCACCATGTGAACATAGCTACTGGCTAACCATCTCAATTCTCACACACGATTCAATGCTCATCAGGGGCCCGTTTCACAAAGCCTTTTTCAATGACAAATTACAAAAATCAGTGACAAGTCTGCTGACAACCAATCAGAAGCAAGGATTCCAGTAGCTTATAACAGAAACGGTAATTTGTCACTGATGACAAGTTTTGTGAAACGAGCCCGTGATCCAACCCTGGAGAAATCAGAGCAACAATTATGAATCCATAACTCCTATCCTCACTGTATCTTCTTCAACCCATCACCTGCTAAGATAGAAGTTTAAACTTTTAAAACTTGTACAAATGGCATCTTCAGAGCCAGGAGGGTCTTGGCTGTGTTTAATGCGTATGAGCTAATGCCCAACTGGCTCCAAACCAGATCATAAAGTTAAGTATTTATATGAACCTGTATTCCACATTCACTTGACATGTACAATGTAACTACAACAAAGTGTGGATACAACCATGGACCTACTGTAGTAGGTCCATGATACAACTGACCAAGTCCTAAGGCTTGAATTGAACTACCAACCCTCCCCGCCCCATCTCCAAAAAAAATGGTACCAAAATGTTGACATTTAGTATTCTTATAGCAGGACCCTCATGCATTTTTCAATATCTTAGAATAATATCTTAAACCACTTTAAAACAGTGTACATTTACTGAAAGCTGTTAGTATACTGCAGTAACCATCATAAACACTTCTTTGTAATCATTATCATCATCATCATTATCATCGCGACAGCACTCACTTAAATAAAATGTACATTTAATACTGAAAGCTAGTAGTATAGTAACCAACATAAACACTTCCTCGTAATCATTACCACCATCATCATCATCATCATCATCATCGCAACAGCACTCTATATGCTTGTTTTCATCAGCTCAAGTTTGCCAAATAGTTTGTATTTCTGATTCGGAAAATTAGCCCAAAGTTACAAATGGCGTCCTCATCATCTTGAGAAATTTGCTCAGTGTCCGCGCATAGTGCAAGTCTTTGGGCTGGTGAAGCCGGACCAGACAAATAGCAGGCTACCTTGCCAAGTACTATTTTGAAAACTAGCCCGGCAAACTCGAGCTGATGAAGACAGGCCTTTTGGCAATATTTCTCAAGTTCTCCCAGTGCAATTAGAACACGACTCGGTGACCAAAGACCTCATCCTCCCTCGCAATACACAACACACATGGGATTTCACTTAGAGAAGCAAGTGATGCTGTAATTCGAGACATTTATGAATTATCCTTAATAAGGATGACAATCCCCCGGAATTAGCGTGCTCGTGATGCGTATCCCATTGACAGGTCGCCACCTCCCACAGCGTCTAAGATCTAAACGGGCTCATCGGACCCGAACAATAACGGTAACAGCAACGTGATTTTTTAATTAAAGGTACACCTAAAGCCGGATTACATCAAGAGAGATGCGCATGCAAAATAGTAGGGTGAACATACAAAATTTGAATTTAAAAAAAAGTAGGGTGAACCTTTAACTTAAAGTCTCATAGTTGTTATCAATAAGAAATGCTAGAATTATATGACAAATTTGCTCTCAGCCTGTCGAATGCAATGATTTCAGTAGCTTGTAACTGTTTGTGTCACTGGTTATTAATAACAATGTTTAATGAAACAGGGTCCTGGTCCAACCGGCCCGAAAAAATGTGATAGGAGATACACTCTGGCACAATATGAAATATTCTTATTTCTACTTATGTTGGTTAATGAGCATGTTTAACCCATTGATCACTAGAAACGGGTGGCTTCTGTATTAAGTCTATGGGAATGACAGACAGACATCCATATGGTAATACGAGAAGTCAGTATTCAATTGGTCAAGAGTACATACGTTGCAGGCATCTATAAGACTCTCAAAAATGTAAATAACACTTTGAGCAAAATCATTAAAAATACAAATTTGGTTGATTCCAACATGAATTCCAATGTACTTTTGAATACATACCTTGAATTTGATACAAAATACATTGAATTGATGATCCTTCCTGTCATATCACAAGCAATGCAGAGAAGAGATTACAAGCTTTCATTTCTCGCTTACAAGAAACCAGAAATGAAATGAACAACATACTTCCTGCCAAACAAAAATCTGGTCATCAACATTTTAGGCACGGGACGGATGGCTAATATTGCAGTAGACGTATTAAACAAACAGCTCCTGTTTCTATTGTACTTTGTACAGGGCTCGTTCTTTACAAGCTTGATATCCAAGGCATTAGCGAAGGCAGAATTACAAGGAAGTTTACAGTGCTTCTATTATTAACAGAGTGTAATCAAGTAAGGCTGTAACTAAATGCAGGTAGCACTAGCAGATAGAATTGATCCTTTCATGTACTTCAGTCCTTTAGGCATGAATGAACATGCCTTGCCAATGCAGACAAGGACATACTATTTAAAGGGTTCAAGTGTTTATATTATCAGAGATAAAAGTAAACAGGAGGAGTCAGCTGTTTAGCTCTGGATAACTAAATAATATTTAACTATTAAGAGCTATGGTTGGAAAAAAATATCGTAAAATGTACATGCAAATGAATGCACTTGAATCTTATTGTAATTTTTTTACATTAAAAATCGCTGTCAGAATGTAAATGGAATGGATCAATTATGTACATTAATTTTAATTACGATTAAAGCTTCATAATTACACATACAATGCCATAAAAAGGCAAGGCTCTGTTGCTGTTGGGTGTCTACAGGTATGTGTGTGGAGGGAAGGAGGGGGGGGGGGGCGGGGTAGACACCGAAATGTTTTTCTCTTGTCAATAAACACATGAAGGAATGCCAACATCATAATCATATCGCCTGGGGTTGATAATTGAGAATGATTCCAGATTTGGATTGGAGATGGGGGCAGATGTTTTGAGTCCCTCCATGCTAATTGGAATGGGGTCCACAATGGGCTCATTCAAACAATTAGGTAATGAAGGGCGCGTTCCTACTACCAGATTCAAGTCTTGTTCAGGTACATGTATGTGGTGATTTATGATGATGTTTCATACTGTTCACACTTTTATATCGTAGCTCAGTGAATACGCGAGGACCTGTGTTGCATACAGTTGCCATTCATTTACACGTTTAAAAAAAAAGGAAGCCGTTATTTTGCGACAGCGGTTTACCATATCATATCTGAACAAGCCTTTGGGATGTGGGACATTTTTCATAGTCATAAACACTTGCTGAGACAAAAAAACAAAAAACAACAACAACAAAACAAAACAAAATTGCAGAAAGTAGTCACTAAAGTGTAGAGCATGTCCAAAATCTCTATATTATGCTACGGTCACAAAGGTTCGTACGAATGATGCGTTTGTACGAATCTCCTTGTTTTTCCATGGTCTGAAAATCGTTCGCACGGCGTTCGTAGCAGTTTATATTGGCATTTGTGACCGAGGATTTACACATGCAAATCAATACATAGCGAACTTACATATAATGTGTATGGAATCGCTACACAACTATAATCTATGTACACCCTCATTAATGGCCGAACCTTATACCGTTAACGACCGGCATAGCTTGACTGAAGCCAGGCTGAAGTGATGGCAGTAGTTAGTTCATCTCTAAGGGGTCGTTCACATACAACACATTTAATCATGGCTTCTTCTTTTTTCTTTCTATTTTTTACAATGGCTTTTAAAAGCATAATATGTTCTTCACATTAATAATAATAATAATAATAATGATGATGATAATAATATGTCTTGTTTACCCAGGGTAGCCTCATCAGTGTCAATACTATTATTCCTAAGGGCGCTGCAATCATATAACCCCCAGAGCCATCTATACACAGAGTTTGGCCAACTTGGTTTCACCGAGTCACAACATTGCGTATATTCTTTTGTTTTGTGCTTGCCCAACGAAGCAGCAGTCGCCATATTGTGACCAACTCGAACTGGGTTAGCCAAACTCTCCTAATCAATGGCACTGATAACCACCCTGGCTTTGGCTGGGATACCATGATCAGGCACCCAAATATTTAAGGGAATTCTTTCTAATAGGTACCCATTCACTACACCTGGGTGGAGAGTGGCAAATGTAGATTAATATCTTGCCAAAGGACATCAGTGCCACAGAGGGACTCAAACTTACTAGATTTTATAACACACACAGATGGTGAGGAGGTGTGGGACCTTTGTTGCGCACAGATCCGGTAATCATATGTGAATGGACATAGGTGAGGGGGTGATCGAGAGAGTAATCAGACAGCTATTAATCGTTGGTAAGAAGGTCATGGCTGTAACTAGAGACAAGTGATGTCCTGGTTTTAATCTCAGACTGTGACCTGACATTTGTTTCAGAGGTGACAGCTCCAGGCTATACTTCGTTACGGTTCTTGAGTTAGGGTTAAGGTTGCAATTGAGTTTCAGGTTAAGTTTAGGGTTAGGGTTAGGTATTGTCTTCAGGGCTGGGTTGAAGTTTGAATCAGAAATAAGTCCAGACAATGACCCAACATTTCCTCCAGCATTGACTACAATGATACAGTGTTACGATTAAGGTTACGACTGCAATTGGATTTTGGGTTAAGCTTTAAGGTTAGGGTTATGGGTAGGTATACAATGTATATCGTTCGGTCCAGGGGTAAAGTTAAGAATCAATTCTCAGTCATTTAGGCTGTGTCTGTCTAATCATGTACGGCTGTTTTGAGTTTGTCATCAGCAATTAAGTTAAGATGATGGAATAACAGGACAAGGAGTTGAGATCTAGACAAGATGAATCTAGCAGCATGCCTGGTAAACCCTTTAGAAGATGATCAGAGCTAATGGCTTTCCGACCAACTCTCAGTTTCAACGCGTTTCCCTCACTCGCTGCAGTCAATTGCTCCATTTCTTCTCTGATCTTTGGGTATCATTCACACTGCTAATCATTGAGGTAAACCTATTTGGACAATACTTTTCAATGAAAACCACTAACATACCTAGATTACAAAAGGGGTTGTGCACTAGATTGGAGGCACAGTGTCTGCAATGTTAGACTATGCTGACTGCAAACTGCATCTATAGGCTAGTCTGCAAGCACAAACCCTGGTCAGTCGCTATTTTGAATCCATTTCAATACACAAGAGAGAGGCGCAATGTATACATCACAGAAAACTTCATATGCTAGCATCAGTGCGGCATGGCCAAGTGGTCTAAGGCGCTGATTTTAGTCACATCAACATTTGAACGCAAGAGATCAAATCCCGACTTCGACAAAAATATATTTTTTTTAAATTGTTTTAATTTTTTTTTTTCCCGAGCGGTCTTAGGCGGTGATTTTAGTCACATCAACATTTGTATGCAAGAGATCAAATCCCGACTTCGAAATCGGGGGTGCGGCCTATACGGCGCTGCGGCCTTATCGCTGGCAAATACGGTATACTGAAACAACCAGTAGGTAGATGGGTTAGACTTCTCTCAAGGCACAATAATTTGTTGATAAAGTGTCAAATTAGGGTCTGTGCTTGCAGACTATCTATTGGCTCTGTACTTTTATTTGACACAGTCAGAGACTGATTGAGCTAGGCTCTGCTCAAGGCTCTGGCGAAGGCTAACTCAAGGCTCTACACATAGTGGTAGAGTGAGTCTAATTAGAGTATATGCCTAGAAACTAGTTCTGCACCACTTACAGGACATCTAGCATACACGGAGTGGGAACAAGCTATTCAACTAGACAATCAGCTGTCAAAGAAAGGTCGATAGATAGTTCAAGGACTGGAAAATGTGAACTATAGAAGCTCAAAGAATTTACCAACTGCTAATTTTACTCATTAGGCTCGCAGTTTACAAACATAAAGGTCTATTAGTCCAAATTGTTACATTGGTGGAAAATGTTGAACTTTCTCTGAGGTCTATAAGCTACTTTGGGGATAGCACTCGTACAAATGACCCCCAAATATTAGATTTGGCACTTGTAACACTTTCACTAGAATTTGTGAGGGAAAAAAGAGTGGGTAGCGGTAGGAGAGAAAAGAAGGGGTGAACATTCTTCTAAAATGTTTTTTGGAGAGAACTTCCAAATGAAAACAATTTGTGTTCACCTGAAATCTTGATTTGCATAATTAGTTGATAAAAATCTATGATTTCAGAACAATGGATTCATACCATTTGGCTGCCATCCACTTGATTTCACGCCAGTCAAAAGAGGTCTATGATAATGTAAGGGTGCATGCATGCTAATGTACTTGGACAGATCATGTTACATGATTAGTTTGGAGGCACATTAAGCCCTTGCCGGTTGGAGTGTATAATATAAGAGAGTGTCTGAACTGTAAGACTAAGTAGCTGGACTGCAGGGTCTACTGTACCCCATAGACTTTTTACTATACTATTCAGTTCAGTCTTTATTTCTGTACTTGTACCTGCTGACACAGAAAGACACTGACAAGAGTTTGGCTCAGATCAAGACTTTGTAGAATTTGATTCATACGGTTCATATTCAAGTGTCAAATCAGAGCCTCTACCTGTAGACTAACGAGTGACAAGAGTTGGACTCAGATCAAGGCTTTATAGAACTTGATTCATAAGATATATGCAAGTGTCAAATCAGAGTCTCTGCCTGTAGACTAGTGAGTGCAAGGATTCCACTCAACTGTCCCAATATGCAAAATACAAATATACCATTTATCAATTCAAAATCAATGCAAAATCTTGACAATACATGTATATAAAAAGTAGCACATCTGGATGTTTTCATTAATCAATATAAATATTCATTGAGCAATTTTCATTGATCATCAATATAAATATTCATTGAGCAGTATTCAACCTCCATCTTTAACCTTTAATTTCAAGGTCTGAAGATCTGCATCATAGCTGGATACAGGCCAAGGAAACACTGGCAAGCAGGCAAACAAGTAGTCTGCAATCACAGACTCTGTTTGACACTCAAACACAATGTCATTAAAGTCCTGAGCATAGCCTAGCTTTGTCTGTAACTGACTATGCCGGGGCAGCTTTAGTACAGGGCCTATGGAGTGCAGTAGACTGTGCGGTTGACATAGTCTCATACCGCAGACACTATTACGATCTACAGCTGACAAGGGTTTGTGGACGCAGACTAATAAGCAAGCGAGCCATGAACTACATAGATGCTATGGATGATGGGTGGTGTGTATTTATAGCTGGTAACTGATCATTGCAACAGTACAGATCCATCACATGCCAATAGGGTCATACCGCACAACAACAAGATCAAGATCGATGGACTATTATAGGACCATCAGAGCCAACACTAATCACTGCACGATATATAGCCTGGGACTACATCAAGATTCAGGGATGCCAGTTAGAATTGATCAGAGGACCTGAAAATCATCTAGAATGAGCTATTTTGTACACAAAAAAGCCTAAATCATGGTCTGAAAATAACTAGCCAGGGCCTGAACTCAACCTATTGCCTCAAAACT